ATAGTCCTTCAATATTATTATTATTATGTGTGGTCTTTGCATGGCAAAAAACAAAGGATTTTTTTTTTGTAAATTTATCACTGAAAATATTTGTATTATTTTTTTACAACGCATTTTGTTTGATTTTGGAACATTATGCGGCAGTCGTGTAGTGTTTTCTATCGGCCCGCTTTGTTGTGGCGCAGAAGCATATGGTACAGATTCGATTCTAGTCCCTTGAGGCGCCTATCAAATTCCAACCATCTGGCGAGGAAAAAAACAAAATAACAGAGGAAGTAGAGCACATGGGTCGTTTGACGCGAATGTGTTTGTTTGTACAGACACTTTCATCCTTTATGTTAACCTGAAACGCACAAACGTACATTTAGACTAGGCTCGGAAAGAGTACAGTTAAGTGAAGTTATTTGAAAAAAGTAAAAAATCTTATTTAGATTAAAAGTTACTTTAAAAAAATGCCAAGAAAACTAACATGGCTGAGTCGTTTGAAAAACAACCACATAACTAAAATAGTAACGGTTTTTACTTAAGTTAAGTGAAGTTATTAATTGAATATTAAGTAACTTCACTACTTGGGGAAAAGCCCATATTAATTAGATTTTCAGTCAGATGAGTTAAGTAAAAAGCTAGGTTAGGATGTGTTGTATAATATCTATTTTTCATATTTTTTCGTGGCTAAAAAAGGCGCCAACGGGCGACCGGTAAAACAGCACGAGGAACATGCCGACTTGGACACTATGTGTACTTATATATATATAAAAATAATAACAAATAATAAAACGGTTTACCTACGTGATTTCGGTCACGTTCAATCCGGACCGATTCGAGTGATTGTTGCAGAATTGCAAACGGTTGGGTATTTTTTTGTTTTGCATAAATACACCGTCTTATAGAACTACACCCGATAGACGACCGTCGGTGACTCATATTATAATAATATAGTGACAACGGTTTTTTTTTTGCCGAAACTTCATTAACATTCCCGGTGTATGCCGTGTGACCCCCGTGCTAGGAGGTACCCATATTGTTTAAGAGGTGTGCAGCGGTCGGCACACAATATTATTAGCGCGTCGTAAAGATACCACCACAAGACGTCGTATAATATAATATTATATACAGTGCAAATAACCTGTCGTGGGTTATCGCGGTCGGAGTTGCCGTTTGCCAAGACACGCGGGCTCGGTAGAGAATTTTTTTTAACCGATCAGATAACATAATAATTTTATATAGTATAAATAAACCGGATTGCCAATAGAATATATTATAATTATTGAAGTTGGCAGTTGCCATTTTCCGCCATCTTTTTCGGCAATAGAACCTTATCACGTGAAAATATGTTTACAACAACAATATCATAAGTCAAGTTGATAACACAGAATCAGAGGACGTGTACATGAATGTCCCCACAAAAATGGCGGACGTCGACTTCCGTTTGTTATCACTAGTTGGTAATCTATTTTGTCGTAACATCTGTGTTGGGCCAAACCCGAGTCGGGAAAACCCGGATATTGTTTGGTGTTTACCCCGAAAATATGGTATTTTGGGGGTTTTTGTGGGTGTTATTGGGTTTGTTGGGTTTTGTTTACACCCAAAACAAACTTAACCGGGTCGGAAAATCCCAGGGGGTTATTCTTTATAAGCTCTGTAACGAATGAACTATAATATCAGGTAAAGTTCTTCACTACGCTGCTTCTACGTGCCTAGGTGATTCTAACAAGACACCCTAACGTGCGTGGCTATAGACAAATTTAGCTAAAATATACAATTTGTTTTATTTGTGAAAACTTAAATAATTGGTTTCAATTATTCGTATTTTGTATCTTTTCGGCAAGCTTTTTCTAACGAGCCCAGAATCAACTCTCTATCTCTTATTTTTTTTTTCAATTACCGTACTTATTAGGTTTCGTAAAAAATCAAGAAAGTAAAAAGGGCTTCACAAACAAACAGATCTGTCGGAATTCTCACTCCAACGCGTTGCAGAATAGCATAAAAAAAACCCTATATAAGTGTCACCAGTTAGTCACCGGAGTGGGCGGAAATCCGGGGTTTTTTTTTTGACCCGGTTAATCCGAAAATAACCCATATCCTAGGGTAAGTACCCAACGTTTTTGGGCTTAAATGAAAATTACCTAACTAGATTTTTCTGTCCGGTGTGGGGTTCTTGTTTTTTAACATTATAACAGTCGGTTAATATTGTTGTCTTAAAAATAAGCGTGACGTCTCGGTTTTTAGACAAATGTAATAACCATTCCATTAGTCGTATCCTATTAAGAGAATGTAATGATTTAATGATATGCTAAAACCGTACACTTGAATTTAAGGCGTGGAATTTGAAGGTGAACTATATTTATTCTTTTTTAAACTCGAATGAAATCGTCGAGATGATACGTCTATTTATAACATCAACATATACATATTCGTCCGGCCTTGTTTCGGTGTTCAGCCTGTGCAGATCGTGTAGGTAGATAATAATGTATATATCTGCAAAATGTATGTAAATAAAAAGTAAACTCTTACCTACAATTTATTTAGCCGTACGGAATGCGGCTAAAATTAAGCTTCGCTGGACTTTTTTAACATTTAAATTAATTATCAATAGTTGACGTTTAAGATATTTTAACTTCTCAATTTTATTTCAAAGCTGCATTTTGTTTTTATTCAATTCCAATTCAAAATTTATCTCAAACAGAGTTGGCATTGATCAAATAGTTTTTTTTTTATCTAGATGAAGCTATCGATACAACATTGTAACTGTTATTTAATTCATTCGATTATTTACGACAAAATTATTTCTCAGTCGTTAGTTGTCAATTTATTATTTATTTTTATCTTTTGGAATGCCTATATTATAGTAATAAAGATAAATGATACAGTTTTTTAATTATCTATGATAAAAAAATTGTTTAAGATTAGCTACATTCTAGTTAAAGAGTTTTGTTTTTTATTTATTATTAATGTAATTTAAAATTATCCGAGATAATCTACGGATAGCAATTTAACTAATTTTCATTTAGTTGTTGACCTTAATAAATTTATCAAATTATCATATTGTTTACCTATTGTACTTTTTAAATTCCGTCCAACTCTGATCACAAACTTTGGCCCAATGACCAAAATCCAAGTACAACGATAGGACGTATTCGTCGTATCCAAACTGTACAGTTGTAATAATATTGTAATCGCAATTTTTATACAGCTTTATAATTTGACTATTATTGTTTAATAATATTATTTAGAATAATTGTTTACAATAATAATTATCGTTTATAGTTAAGTAATTATTATTAAAACTACATGGTCGCACCGGGTTTGCGACAATTTGCTGCAACAACACACATACTTATCCCGCGGGAAACCGCAACGGTATACCTAATGTTTTTTGTATTTTTTATTCAAATTATTATTATATTTTTTTTTTTACTATTTTATTTCAATTGTCCAATTTCACGGTAATTACCGTGTACGTCGCACACATTAATACCAACGACCACCGTAGTAGTATATTTTAATGTACACTATAATAATATATATGAGAACATGTACATACATACCTACATATAGATATAGAATATGAGTCATTACTCATTCGTCGTCTCGGTAATTTGTTTTTGCTCTGCCAATTATTAATATTATTTTCTAACCGAGGGCCGGCGGGTGGGAACCAGTGACACGGGATGGTAGGGGAAAGGGGAGGAAAAGGGGAGAAAGAGGGAACGGGGAGGTCGACGTCCAGGAGAGCGGGCCACGTCAGAATGGGACTGGGAAGTCTAAACGTTATTATTGCAAGATTTTTTTTCGTTATTTCCCATACGTTCACTCACTCTCTCTCTCTCTCTCTCTCCTTCGTACCTACACTAGCAGTACTCCTAAGACTTGTCTGTGCTTACTGGGATGTACAACACTATAAGTATACCGTACTAAATTCTCCTACTCTGCTTCTTTCACCGTGTCACATTGTCTCTCTCTCTCTCTCTCTCTCTCTGCCAGTTCGCGCCTCGTCACCTCGTGTCTTCTTTAAGATATAATATACAATATACATAGGTACACGTGAGACATAGTATGATTATTATCAGCCGTCCATAGGTGTATACGGCGAGAGCCACTTCCACGGGCAACCGGTTTGGCCGTCGACGTGCCATAGCCCCTTCCACGGCCACGACCCACCACTACAACAGCAGCTATTTCCTTCATATCTCCTATGTATGTATGTGTACATATTATTATACGGCACTACCATTTCCAAACACTATTTCTACCACCACCACCTCCATCACCACCACCGTCTCCTCATCACGTTCCTACTCCCGCTCGTTCCTCCTTCAGTCTTGCACCGCGCACTGCACCGTCGGTCAACTTAGTAAAATAATATACTAATATATAATATATAGTATAATATTATTATTATCATTATTGTATACAATCCCGTTTGAAGCGTGCACACGTTTTGTTTAAAATATATACAATATTATTGTTTTAAACACACACACACGCACAATCAACAGGTAGCTCTAAAGTGGAATCAACAGGTCCGCTAAAAATATAATACACAAAATTTTCGCCGCGTCTACAAGTCAGTTTCGTTCTTACCGAAATCGCGGATCCGTCGGTCGCCGTGCGTGCGAAGCTGTTAAATACCTAATTAATTAAATTTTTTGTTTCTTATCATCGTGACACTAATATATATTGTAGAAAATAATATCAATAAACAATACAACGCGTGTGGTTAACAGTTTTCAATAAATGTGCGGCCGAGTCTCGTCCATCAAGTCCGGACCGCGTTGATTGCGGTCGACTTGACTTATACTTGATTGAAGTTTTCGATGGGATATAATCGCAACCCGTTCGTTTCCATTTTGTCGGTCGATTGCAAATTGCGTTCCAAAACAGTACCGTTGAGGTCTTAAGACATCGGCAACGGAGAACGTGCGAGCGTTTTTTTTTCGCTTCAAAATTAATAATATTCTTTTTTTTATAAATATAATTTTAAACATTGTCCCAAACAGACAAGCTATACCGTCGTAGCACGTGAAAGCTCTGGAACGTCGAACTATACCTACCAGTATATCTGACAGCAAAATATAAACACAGCCCTAGAAAAAATGGCTTGGATCAAACGGCAAGACAACAAGACCAAACTGGCGGCTCACATGGCTATCCCGGTGGTAAGTCAATAAATATATTATTATTATACATTTTTTTTTTATAATTATTATATTAATACAATAATTGCCGCGTCGTTTGTTTTGTAAACTAAACGCCGTACGACGTCTATAATATTATTATAATTTTTTATTTTAATTTCTTAACCGTCTCCCCGTTTGTAATAGATATTTTATTACTTTATAACGCCTAAATACACAAACACAATAGTATGACACACAAATCAATCGCTAATTGATTGAACATTGAAAACGCATACTACTGGACCCCGACCGCCGACGACGTGTTGCCAACCTAGGAATAAAAAACCCATCGACCGCTCGTCAATGATATCATCTTATTATTATTATTATTATTACACTATACGAAAATGATGGGTACATCGCGATAATTTTCTCGCACAAATACCGCACTCGCATAATAGAAATTCCAAAAAAAAAAAAATCAAGAACAATTTCCAACGAGGTCGGCACTGCGGCGGTGTCGACCTGCCTATGTCCAGCAGCTTAGGTCCTGATCAGAAAAACAACACATAAAAAATTATCACTTGTAAAAAAAAAAAACCAAATTGCTTTTCACAGAAATTAGTGAAAAATGTGTTTATAAACCAATGCCGGGTTGCACCAAATATTTACACAGAGATAAACTAGATAGTTAAAATTAATTCTGACGCATAAACCGTGTTTGAAATTTTACATGTTGTTAAAAATGTACTTTATCACGAGCTATACTACGGGGTCATCTATCGCCGTGTAAAAATGTACGTATAGTGAAATTTTATTATCAATGTTTTATTATTGATAACATTATTTATCATTGATAAGACCCTGTATGATAATAATATTAACTCCTACTGTTAATACCATTTATTCGATAACCAGTATACTGGCAATAACCCGAATATGAAACAACGATTGAGCAACACTCTTAAATTTAACACAATATGTTAAATTTCAATACAATCGCTTTGTAATTGAATTAGTAATTATGGTTTAAAAAAGAAAATAACAAACAATTGCAACGCCATTACACATCTTAGTGTCTCTTTTTATCTCTCACACTCTCTCGAAAAAATGTTAAACAAAAAAACATATGAAATTCCACATCGGCACGTAAAGCGCGTTTAGGTATTATTTTTTCGCTGCTAAGAAGCATTCATTACTTTTTGCAAAGTAGACATTAGCCATTGCAGTTGTGGCGAGAGAGAAAGAATTCGACAGTATATAAAAAACGACCACGTTTATTGCGTCGCTTTGAAGTTTCTAAACCATTCCCTGTGTAAACTGTAAGAGCAAGTAGTTTTTATTTTGTCCAATCGCCTTTAATATTAAAAAACAGCCCCCGGAAAAAAGGGTATTTTTTTCTCCATTTTTTACCACGACAGTGTTCTCAAACCGAAGGTCGACCAAGAAAATCCGTGAGACTTTTCACTCTAAATCTCTTCTCCACTTTGCTGTCCTATTAAAAACCACACAAGAAACATTATCACGGTTCTACACTTTTAACTTTAGCTCAAAATCTCACAAATATTTTCTTCTGACGTCTTATTAAGAGAATTTGGCCCTAATTTGACATGCGGGCTCCTAGTTTAGGTCTTAGATATTGTTCCTAGATTGTACCAACCCAACCTCTCCAGGGCAGCAACCAAATTTATACGACCATTCATCTTTGCATGAACAGACTGGAGTAACGACAAAACACCACAAAGTTCACCTCTTTGAGACGCTCTATTGCCTAATTTAACTTAAACCAAACCAGTCCAATCTAAACTGAACTAAATTCAAAACCCATTTCAAAAACGGTTATTTAATAGATTAGTTTTTAACGAACATAAAATTAGTTACAATACAAATCTAAAAAACTAGTTATTTTCTCCGCTTCACGGAAAAAGACGGAATCATGGATATATTATCTCTTATCATATTTCTTATCTCTAATCTCCCATGGTCCATACGAATAGAAAATATCGTTACAACCATAACGTTAGTAGTGCTGTAAATGGTATAAACCGTACTGGTTATGGTTGAACATTTCTTAGTAAAAAACAAGATATTATTACAATATCAATAGAGGTATTTGTTTTTTTCAAACCTTCCAACTACCGATTGAAAAAATGTTGTTTACATTCGTTTTAACTTCGAGCCGTGACAAAGTAAATGGACATTTTTTTTTTTTTATTCAAAACGTGATAGCTCAACGAATTATTAGGAAGAATCGCAGTATAAAAATTTAGCACAATTAACTACCATATATTGTTTACATCGGCGATGATAATTATTAGAGTCCAATTTAGAGATTATTCTATATATATATATATATATCTTCTTCTTCAACAGCTTAACGGTCCATTAAGGACATGCGCTGCCACTAGTAAGCCTCTCCATTTTTCTCTGTCCAAAGTCTAATCTAACGTTGCATTCCCATCTATCAGTCTCATATCCTTTTCTACAGCGTCTTTCCATCTTATTCTTGGTCTTCCAAGTGGACGTTTTTTATTAATTTTCCTATCAGAACATTCTTTAATACATCTCCATCAGCTCTCCACACATGTCCCAGCCACTCTAGACGTTTACATCTTATATATTGGGTTTTTCATATAGGTCATACAGTTCTTCATTGCGTCTCTTTTCATATATTCCTAGGTTGTTATTGTACACCGGTATATATATATGTACACATAAATACACGCGATAAAATTACTTTGGAAAGGCACACTCAAGACATAATATAGACAAGAGAGTAGGAGAGGGGAATAGATGAGTTTTATGAATATAAACGTTTATTAATGTTATGTCAACAGTGCACTCGGTGTACATTTTTTATTTTTGTTTATACGATAAAAAAGGTCTTTAAGATTTTTTTAAAAGAAAAACCTTCGACCTTGTTGTAAGGCATCGATTATCGTCGCCGTGTATACAACACTGTGTTTAGGTTATCCTACCTATTATAGAGGAGGCACTGGAATTAATTCCCATGCTCTACTGTGGGATATTGTCGATTCTGCACTATTTCTCTAAACCGGTCTTGTTTGTGGCTCGGTGAAAAAGAAAACCTATTTATTAAGCACAGTGAAACGATTAGATCATGTTGCGCAATATGAGATAGATCATAGAAAGAAACAAACAACAGCTAAAATAAAATTCAGTTCGGCTCATTACGAATTTAAAATGTTTCGGTTTTAATAACAATTTGGCACATAAATGAGCATTCAACTATAATACATATAACTATACAGTACATCAGTATAGGTAATACAAACTGATCATACTTGTATGCAATCATAACCAGTAATGATTTTCAAACGCCATTTTAAAAGTTTTAGGGTTTTTTATATATTCCAGAAAGAAAAAAATAATTATTTAACCAAACCAAACCATATTAAATCTAAATCAAATCTAAACTAACCGAACCACGCCAAACCAATCAAAAGCAAACCAAACCTGACCGAACCTAGCCTAACTAAACTTAACCAAACCAGACCTAACCAAATCGAACCGAACCAAACCAAACATAAGTGAACCAAACCAAAGCTAACCGAACCTAACCCAAACGAAATAGACCTAACCTGAACTAAAACCAAACCGAACCCAATTTGAAACAACTAATTTCACGACAAAAAATTATCCCTCTATTACGGCCATGAATGTGGTGGACGTAAACTGTCTGGGTCGTTATTTAATAAATAAAATGTTTAAATTGACATAATACTCTGTCTTTTAACAAACGCTCCTCCCTGTATCTGACTTACCGTTGCACTCAGACCTGCGAAACAAAATTGTCTTCCGAGTTGACAAACAACTTTACACTTGTTATCACAATTCCCTAGAATATCATTTTACAATACTCTTATACAATATTATCTTTCACTAGCAAATAGTGATGTTGTCTCCTCTTAAGTAATAACCAACCCCGTGTAAGAGTGCCGACATTGGACTGCTTCTCTTTTCCACGCTTTCAATGTACTAAACTTGTTGTGTAGATTGAATGTTTTTTTTAATAAAGGGAGACAAAAATTAACTTAAATCATTTTGTGGGGGAGGAGAGCCGGGTCTACTTATACTTGGGGTCGAGGGAAGATAACGGCCTCTTCGGGCAACCGGTCGTGTACAAGAGGCGAGGCGTAACTTGTGTATATAATGTATGTATAAATGGCGAGACCGCAGTGTAGCCGGCGTTGTCTGTTGTCGTCGAATGTGAAAGACCTCATAATCGCACAAATTGGTACTTATATCTCTGGCGGACGTTTAAAAAAAAATATATATGTATCTAATCAGTAACGTTACACACACATTAATTACCACCGGGCCCCCAAGACGCTGCTAATGGACAATAACGTCTCAGTCGAAACGTTCAATAAGTTCGCCACAGACGTGTCCGTCCGTCGGTTTTGCATTGGCTCGGCCTTTATTTTCTTTGTGTGTGTGTGTTTTTTTTCTTCTTAATGTTACACCAAAGTGTGTAAAACGCCAATTTTTTTTGTTGTTATTCAAAGAAAACCCCGAAGAAAAAACCGTTTTTACAAAAACCTCGACGTTCCCCTGCCCCGCAAAAAAAAAGCCCAACAGAACCTAACCTCCCCCCCCCGTTTTTTTTTGTTTTTGTCCGCCCAACGGGGCAAGACATGAGACCATCATCATGCGTCGTTTGCCCGTCGTCGACCGTTTGAAATATTATCATTCGTTGTCCGAAGACGGCCTCGCATTTTCACCACACACCGCCAAGAGCTTCAGGCGCACTTCAGTTTACGGTTGGATAACCAAAGTGGATTGGCCGCACCGCCGAAGACACTGTGCCACGAACACCATGGCGCGTGAGGGTAATAATTAAAAAGACAAAAAAAAACCTCTTATCCGATGATACGGCGACAGCAGATAACATAACAGAGAAATAACGACATCCCCATATCGATCCGAACCCTTAGGAAAAAATTGAACGGCACCAGCAGCGATTTGGGGGAGTGAACTACTCCCATTTAATGGCAATATAGTGTGTTTTTTTTTTT